GCCCAGCCCCCTGCACGTGCTGAAGGCCGAGGCTGGGGCCGCGAGGCCCGCTGCCTGCTGGCTGGGCCCCTCCACCCAGCCCTGACCGCTCAGAGCCACCCCCGGAGGCCAAGCCCCGCCCCAGCTGAGGCCAGAGTGCAGCCGGCCTGCGCGGGCCTGGCGGAAGGACGCCATGGGCTATGCCGGGGCCTTTGGACACGGGGTCTGCGAGCTGACGTGAATCCCTGGGCTTCAGGGGCAGCTCCAGTAGGCGCGGGGAGGGCGAGCAACAGGCAGCTGTCCAGCAGTGCTGGAGTGTGGACATGGGATGGGTGTGGGGAGCCCCCACCTCACCACAGCAAGGGCCACTTGGGAGGCTGCCGAGGGGCAGCCAGTGGCTGGAGGTCCAGGCCTCCTGGTGGGCCGGGCGCCGGCCGGGGCCTCCTGGGCCCTGGGGTGCCCTCAGCGTGGGGTCTCCGATGTGAGCCCTGGCCTGGTGTATCACCCCAAGGTGAGCTGGGCCCACCCACAGCCGAGCCCCCACATTCACTCTTAGGCTTGACTGTGAGGTGCACTCACCCCACACAACAAAAAGGAGATTCAGCCCGCCCCGCCCCACTGGCAGTGCCCCTAGAGGCCCAGGGATTTGCACAGCACGGCCTGGACTGGACCGGGTGCCTGCCCTGCCCGGCCCCCACACGAGCACCAACTGGGCCAGGGCCTTCCCCTCGCCTACCCGCCCCAGGCAGCCGGGCCCAGCAGATGCAGATGGCACGGGCCAGCCAGGCCCTGCCAGCCTGGGGCGAGGCGGGTGGTGAGCGTGGCTGGGCGGGACCCTGGCTCCAGGCTCACGCCCTGCAGCACATGCATGGGCACTGTTTCCTGCAGTCGCAGATACGAGGGTGACCTGGCAGCGGGGACACCCACCTCCCCAGACCTGGGAGAGGCTATGCACCCCAGCCCGGGGCCCAGCTGGCTGGCGTGGGTGTGGGTGCTCCCGCAGCAGCAGGCTGGGGGCCGTGGGAGCCTCTGTCCTGCCAGTGCTGGCCCTCCGCAGGGGGCAACAGGCCAGACCCGCCCGGGGCTGCAGCGCCCGGCCCCTCGGGGCAGAGAACACAGGTGCGCCCGCCTCCTGCCCTGCATGCTGGGGGGGGGGGGCCCTTTCTGGACTCGCAGAGGCGGGGCAGCCCCCTTGCAGCCCGGGGTCTGGGGGAGTGGCCGGGGCGGGCCACGTTGGCAGGCAGACAGCAGCGGTGTGGGGGCACCCTGGAGGC